TAAAAGTGCAATTTCTTCATTCATTTTTAAACGAAATATGCCTAACCCAGACCCTATTACAGAATAATCCTTGCAATCATCATTCATTGTTGGCAACGAATAACTGAATGAAAATTTAAGTATAATTATGAGTAATTGTGCCATAAGTATGTCGTAAATGTACTGTAATATTACGCAGTGCGTAATACGCACTCGCTGAGGAGGATTATCTATCAACATCCTTCCAACATTTCAATTCAGTTCAACGTTTCTTTACAAGAGAGGAAAAGAGAAAAGTCTATTAGTGTAGTCATGCTTTGGGTATTGTCAAGTTCGGCTCGAAAAATTTTCTTCGCTAGGCACGCGCGATAATGTGTAGAGAGCTAGGATATTGCGATATTTTGCAAAGAATTTTCTTCGCCATCATGCATTCCCTATCAGATGATCTATCTTGGAATCGGATTGTTTTCACTTGTATCGCACGATTTCCATTTTGCGCTTTACAGGCCAGATTTCTCCCGGGAGTTTTGGAAATCTTATTTCTCACCGTGCTCTGGAAGTCCAGTTTACAGTGTTATTGGCAAACCAGAAGAACAACGTTCACCATTGACGCACAAAATAAGCGATGTTGATACAATTCCAACGCTATATTCGGTTAACGAGCAGCCAAGAGTACCGCGCGTAGACAAACCGGTCGACCGCCCACTTCATCATCCGCCAACAACCCGAAAAGAAAATGTAGATCCGGTGATATATCATCTAATGGGTAACTGAAGCTGATAATTGTCTAATGTATTGTCTGATTATGAAACAGACTAGAATGCAAAAGAATCGAGTAGATGTTGTTTCAGCATTGTAATTAAGTTGAACAAAGTTTAGTTTTGAGAACTTTTATGTGGTTGAACAAAAGAATTGTCTCCCCTATCCCGGAATCTAAACTTTCCCCTTATCATCAGAAACATGGCCTTGAAAAAAGAGATTTACAGAAAATCGTACTTTTCTGCCACGTTTCGAAACAGTGATCCTAAGCTTGATTTATTGATAAATATGATAAGAAAAAGAAGAAACAGGCCATGATTTTCTCAGGTGAGATAGTGTAGAAGAAAAAACTCTAAAACAAAGTGAGAAAAACAAGAAGGAATCAAAATGAACCAGAGTGAAGTGATAAATAGTAGTGTTAGAAGCAGAAACTCAAGGAGTTTTGAATCATTTGTTCACTCAAGAAAAAGAGCTCAGCTTTCGAATAACAGACAGAACTGATCAAAAGAGGTTTATGTTATATCCAAACAGGCATCCATGCTTTTCGAGGACGCGGTACTCTATCGTCTTTTCTTTTGCGTCTTCGCTCGTCACTGTCTTGATTAAAATTCCATTTTCGCCCAGTATCGAGTGGCACCCGTTCCTAAAATAAATGTTTAATTTCTATTATATATATGTAACATTCTGAGAAAACTTACAATTGTTTCTGGTTTTGGTGGAGGGCGAACGTAACCATAGTCCGTTCTTCTGGTCGGATTCCGTACTGCGTGTGGCGGCTCAGGGAATCTTGAAATAACATTATTACTTTCTCTTGGGTGTGGTGCTTTATATGTCCGATATTCGTGCGGCGATTGTTTTCGCTCGATTCTTTGTTGTGCAGGCGACTGAGATTTTGTAACTATAGCCGGATGATGTTGACGTGACTGTGGAGGAATAATTGGTTTTTCTGGTTTACGTACAAGTTCTTGAAAGGATATAGAGTATGAAATAAATTATGTATTGAAAAATACTATTCATTCTTACCTTCCAGCGATGGGGAGTGATGACCAATAACAGAATAAGAAATTATCTCTTCAGACTTATCTACAGGTTGGAAATGGTGAACAGGTCGTTGATGATGCTGCGGTTTTGGTTTATTTTGTAGACTCGAAGTTCGCCTGGGTGGCGGAGTAGCTGCTCTGGTAATCGATCTCGCACGTATGCTTGGCGACTTTTCAGGTTTCGTCTGATGTAACAATGTCAGCCTCTCAGGCTTTCCAACAACAGAGTATAATGTTGGTGTTTTTTTCAGAAGAGGTATGTGTGTTTCAGTCACAACTGGGGACTCCGTTTTCTGTTGTATTGTCATAGGAATGGTATAGGCTGAAATTTGTTGCTGAGGAGCTCCACCAATTGTGTGCATGTTAATATTTTTTGGGTATGGATCAACATGATATGGTACACTGGTAGGTGCTTTCGACTGTGCCACTACATTGTACGTCTGTGGGGGCCTAGTTTCTTTTACTACTGGTAGAGGTAGACTTACAATCGGTACTTTTGGTTGTCCGACTAAGTGATACAAGTAAGGTTGGATATTCACTTTTTCTGCCGGTGGCTGATGATGTTGGACCAGGCTGGGCATTTTTGGGCGCCCTATTAGATGATACATCATCGGATCTACATTTTCTTTTGCTGTTGTTAGTGGACGATAAACTGGCTGGTCGACCGGTCTGTCTATGCGCGGTACTCTTGGCTGCCCGATAATCGAATACAGCGTTGGAATTGTATCAACATCGCTTATTTTGTGCGTCAGTGCTAGACGTTGTTCTTCTGGTTTGCCAATAACACTGTAAAGCGTGGGTAATATGTTTTGCTGTTCAGTTACCCTATCGGAAGTTTCAGAGAACTGTATTGGTGAGATGTGAGCGAAAATGGGAGCACCCACTATAGTATGAAGTACTGCATCCTGTGGTATTGAAGGCGATGGGATTGCTTTTTCTTTAATCACAAAAGATTGCTGTGGTTGCCCAACGATAGAATAAACTGTTGCCATTTGTGGTAGAGGGATTGGCGTTTCTTTTTCTTCCGTTACATATAACTCTGAGGGTTGTCCAATAATTGAATAAAGATGCGGAGCGCCTGATGGCGATGGCGGCTCATTTACAATAGTTCGAGATAGCGAATGATAGCCAGTAATTGAATATAACGTCGGTTCGATATCGCGTGTTATCGTGGGTTGCACGATAACGTTCGGACGATCTGAAACATTATACACATGTGGTTGTTCTTCCTGAATTGGCTCAGAAATGATATTTTGAGGTTTATAGCCAATGACAGAGTATACAGTTGGTTCGATGACTTCTCGTGTGGTTGTTGCTGTTGAAGCTTCTGGAGTGAGACGCCGTCCGGTAATACTGTACAAAATGGGGGATGTATAGTGAGTTTCAAGGGGTACGGGCTCAGAATAAATTATATGCTGAGGGACAGGTTGTCCTACAACTGAATACATAGTGGTTGGCATTTCACGTGGCGTCAACAGCACGATTTCAGTAGGAATCGTCTGTGGGATAGGGCGACTGACTATAATATGTAACGGTTGTTCTTCAGTTGTCAATGTTGGTTCTGATTTGTTGTAGAATGGATGCTGTTCAAATTTACGCGGATCAATGGAATGTTTGAAAAGATCGAGCTTATACATGGTTGTAAGGTGTGTTGGTTGTTCCATGAGTCCAATTGGTGGCTGATTGCTCACGTTAGAGGTGATCGTACGTTCAAATACTTTAAATCATTTTATAGAATGGATCCTACAACAAAGATGAACTTATGTCAATTACTATTAATAATACAGAAATTGAATGTTAATCATTTTTGCTTGTGAGTTTTCCTTCCACTTTTCCGCTCTAAAAGACTTACGGTAAGTCTTAACGGCTACTTTTCTGTAACTTCTTAGAGTTGTGGGGTTAAAAGTATTAAAAATTGCTCCCGTCTGTTTAATTTGCCTGTATAGAGGATCCACAACAATCGTTCTAAGAAATTCTCGGGATGGTATGTAACAAGATAAATTTGTTTTGATCGACTATATCGAAGCATTGAGAAATTAAAATCTATGTAAATATACTCAAGCCAACTGCCTTATGAGTTATCCGATAATACTAGTACCTGTTAGCAAAATTTTAAAGTTCATTACCGGTGGACAGTACAGAAATTGAAGAAGTACCAAAGCATTTAGATGCTGAAGTTGCAAAAACGTGATTTGAATGAAAAGTAACGATTAAAAGTAATCTACTGCTGATAATATTCAAGAAACTCGAAGAGTATTACAATCCAAGTTAATTTTATCAAAACGTGTGGTTGAATGCCTGCACGCTATTGTAGAACGAATTCAATCATTCTTCTTTTTTCTGTTCATTACGACGGACGTGTTTATGTTTGTATAACCACACTACGTATACACAAAACACAACCAATTAACTGCTTAATTATACGGTTAAGGTCGATTAAACTCACAACATTCACCACGTACTGTTGGCAATACCTGTTCTTCAGAACACTAATTTGCAGTTAGGCTATGATTATCAGAAGAAAGCTCGGTTATTAAACGAACATTTTGCATCGGTGTACTATGCCAATGGCAGATTGCCACAATCAATCTCCCCTCATATGTGACCAGTACACTTCTGCCTTTTCATGTTTCTGATGAAGAAGTTGAAAAATTATTCTCATGTCTTGAGGTCAACAAAGCAGCCGGGCCGGGTGTCAGCAATCGTCTTGTGCGTGAATCTTCATCAATTATCGCTCAAAATATTGCATTCATCTGTCGTACTTCAGTACGGATGCCTATCTTTCCTGTTTCTATGAAGTCAGGTTCTGTCACCACAGTGTTCAAGCATGGAGATACTAAACTGTCGAATAACTACCACCTGATTACACTCTTGCCAGCCTTGTCGGAAGTCGTTGAGAGAGTAGCTTATAAAGGATTTTATGAGTCTTCAGCAGAAAACAAGTTCTTGTCGGTTTTTTTGGCAGGGTTTCGAAAGAAACACTCTACCATTATGTTAAAGTATAAGTAAAGTGTGTTTTTAGACTTAAAAAAGGCTTTCGACAAGGTATGGCACAATGGACTGCTGTACAAACTAAGGAAGAAAAGTGTTTTCCTCCAGCTCGTTGAGTGGTTTAAAGTTTATTGACTTAATCGACATATCGTTACCGCAAAAATCATGACGTTTATTGCAGAAAAGTGAATATAGCATAAGAAAGCGGATGAAAAACTGAGTCGTGATCAAAGGTACTCTAGTCTTCGTTTAAAAGTCTACCGTTCTCGATCTTAAATTCTAGTGGGGATATTTATATCCCGAATGGGATATATATCCTCATGGGGATGTATATATCCTATTTGAGCTATGAGATCGGACTAACCGGAGAGTAGTGTTATACCATGCTCAAAGAAAAATTCTTATAAAGGAAATCTCAACAACAAAAAAACGCTCCTACCCTTAATCTTTGATCTTCTTTTGCTAAAATGTATCTCTTGCGAAAGAAGATTTTTCATATATATATATCGTGCAGTAATAGATTATATTTGTACAATAAAAGACTCACATAAGAAGAATAACGTTTTCTTTTATTTTCTCTGTCCTTGTCATTTTACTTCTCGTTAAACAGATTTCTCTCTTTCTCCATGTGTGTGGGTGGACTTTCGTATATTATTGTTTGTCTCTTTTTTCGTATCAGATTCTTCTTTCATGATTACATTGTATCGATCGTGTTTCTCTATCGTTCGATAATAATAGAGCATGTCTCTCTTCTAGTGGTAAGGGAAAAAGTTAAAATGTTTCTCTTTCAAATAAAATAGGTTATAACAAGTCAAACATTGAAATTCATATGCGATCAAATCATCGCATCTGAGCAAAGAACTGGTGTTACAGATAAATTATCTTTCGCGTATCAATACGTAAATGTTGGAAATAAATGAATATTAGTGTCCAGCGGGATAGGTGAATGATGGTATCAACACTGCCTAAAGAATTCATCTCAGATACAAACTGATTCTAAATTTCTCGAGCAGTTATCAGAAACATCAGTTGATACCCGATATGAACTGAGGTACAATCAATTAGGTGGAAAGCTCGATTCAACCATCGCCATTGATCGATATCCTTTGTAGAAAACAATTTAGAAACACACATTATCATTTACAAAGATTTTCAATCACCAAAAAACTCATCTTGCAAGTGCTCTCAGACTACATGCTAATGACTAAGTTTGATTTTCACATACGATAAAACAATATTTTTTCACACTTACTTAGACACATATGATTTTTAATTTTTTACTAACAAAATTTAGATTTTTTCATTAAAGCATAAAACATTTTACGATATATATAGGATGAGTAATGAACACCTACGATGACCTATTTTTTTTCAATCAACTTCATGCCGTTTTTATATTAATAAAAGAAAATTTCTTTTTTGACAATAATTTCACATCGCTTCCACGTGTTAAACAGAACATTGTAATTCAGTCTGATAAGTCCTCATAGTTCTAGAACGTCTATACCACTAATTAAAGAAGCGTTCATGAATTTTGTGCTACGGTATTAGGTTGAAGATCGGATTAGTGACAATATGACTTCCAATAGTAAACTTCACTTGCTTGTTGCCTTGATCACCATGAAATATAATTATACTTTTCTTTCTTTTATTTTTATTTTACTCTAATTTTATATAAAAGATGAGGTCGGTAGTTGAATAGGTAATTTTTTTCTTTATGCGTATAAAATTGTATTCGTTGAAGACTCTCATTCTTTCTTTTCTCTCTCTTGCTTGCTCTCTGTTTTCTATCTATGACAACCGTGTATAATAATTCATTTCCTTCTGCTCCTTTTTCACTACTCAGTTACTCCTCAAGTATCGAGAAATTATTGACAATATTTTCAGATATTTTTTATTATTTAAGAGAAAATAAAGATTAAGTGGAACAAAAAAATAATTGGAAACATTTAAATTCATTTGTAAAAAATAGAAAGAACTTTTTGAACAATGAGTTTCCTAGAAGCAACGTATCGTAATGACCACAATATTGATATAAATTAAACAAAATGAAGAAAGATTATTTTCAAGTAAAACTATAAAAGGCTCCGAAATTCTGCAAAAAATTAATGATGTCAGTTTTTGCATAATGTGACACTAAGGTGACTTAAGCTACTTATTATACAGCGAAATACGAACCAGGTTTAGGAACAGTTTATAAATGTAAAGATTGTGATACTAAATACATTGGAAAAAGCTGTAAGGCAAATACTACTACGAAAAAGTGAAGTTGAAAAGAATGTGGAAAAAGCAGAAATGCATATAATGCGTAATTTATATAGATCCGACATTATGTACAGCAACAAAAAGAATGTTTAAGTGGTGATGAAACTACTAACTGTGATCAATAAAAATTGAGAAGGACCCAGTCAATCATTTATATGTTTTGAAAATTCGTTTCAACGCGGTTTTAGCTTCAGAATATCGCGCGAAACTCTGTTTACGAAAAATTTACCCCAAGAAATTCTCCTGAAAAACAAAAGTATGAGAATCGCATTTGACGTAATCATAGATTGCGTTAAATGCGCTAAATTTTTCATAAACAGAGTTTCGCGCGCTACTTTAAAGCTAAACTCGCGCTTTTAATAGAATAATTCATTTGTTCGCGGTTCTTGAGCCAATCGCGCGTTTGTCGAGTTGCATTGCGTTAAAAATGCAATTTTCACTCATTATTTATTTATATTTGTTGTAGAAATGCCTAAAATCGCGACTTCAGTCGAACGAGTTTTATGTTTCAAAGAAACTATCGTATAAATTTTGAAAAAGTGAAACGCCCTTTTCAAATTTCATTTCTAGCCAGAAAGCGTTAAATTCTTTTCCATTGAGTCATAAACGCGAAAAATTCAGTGCCGTTCGTGAATCTTGAAGTATTTCGCGACTGAAAACGTGTTTTTAAAAAGTTATGATGGTCATAAACGCGTTCTCGCGAATTATTGATGGCAAAAGCGCGGTTTTGATTAAGGCGTATATTTAAAGCTCAAGAAATTCGCCGTATTCATAGTGCAACTGTGTATTCTCGCGCTCTATAAATGCTAAAATGGCGTTAAAATCAATTTTCAAAACATAGTTGACTGACTGGGGAGTGACAGAATTATAAGAGTAAGTATCCAGGAAAAAACTATTATTTGACGACGCGATTTTTCGAAGCTCCTAGAAAACTTGCTCAGAATTCGCGAAAAACCACTTGTGTAGCCAAAAGCGATACAGATTCTGAACGTAGACGCATCAGGCTATATTTTCATGTGCGCGTTGCAAAATCGAGTTTTTTGACCGGAAATCGCCATTTCTGATGGGAAAGACCTTAAATGGTACTATTTCTGATTATAATCCTAAATTACCATTAGATAAACACGTAACAAGTCATTCTATGAATTTTAACAGCATCAAAATCAAGCTAGCTATATATCGTCTATTAATTTGAGAGTCCTTAGCTATACAGGAGAAGTTCCCTTAGATTAACGAGACTAATCGTTCAGTTCCCCCCTCTTATATTTCCAGAAGGCATTGTGAATAAAGGTACAATATCAATTAGATAAAAGTAACATAGTAAAGCTTATAAGGCACGCGTAATTCAAAAAATCAAGTACTATTTTATTTTTAGCTTCTT